AAAAGGCTGGGGACCGCTGCCATAATCTCCATTCACACACACAGAAAGCTAAAGTGACCACACTGCGAAAAGTACACATATTTACCATTGAATTTGTACGTACCAAAACCAAGTTTTCAGTTTTGAAGTAACACGTGCTACCCTTGGGTTAAGTAGGCTCCTCTAAATAACAATTATTGCAATGAAAAAAATATGCATTTTGAATGTTGATAAGGGTAGATGGAAATGTGGTCAGTTAATCAGTATATGTTAAACGCATTCCAGATCAGTGATGCTTTTTACTAATTACAATTATTTTACATATAAAGTAGACTTAATAAGGAATTACAAAGGCTTGAGCATTGTAAAGTTATTATTTTTATGTTAAAGATGAATCTGTTATAAAAGTTAAGAAGGAAAACCATCCAGCCTCCTTCTACCCTAATAAATCATGCTTTTTTTCCTTTTCCCTTGCCATTTCTTCTTGGTGTACTTATGAATTTTTATTTAATTGTCATCGGGGGAAGGGTAAGCTGTGACAAAGCGAGAGAGAGGCATGGACGTATATACAAGCCATTTTGAGTTTAGCATTTTCCATCCAACATTCATTACGTAGAAAGCATTATTTCCATTTCCAATTGAACATAAGGGCATTGACGGCGGCTTGAACCCATCCCCTGTTGTCAAAAATGTAGCTGTCTCCCAATTTATTTATTTCTTTCTTGTTCCTATTTCGATAATGCCGCGATGAACATCTTTGCTCAAATTTAACTGTAACTTTTTATGGGGAAGGTTTTGTTTTTAGAATAAATGGAATGGAATTTCGGTGCCAAATTCCAAGCAATTTCAGATGGTTAAGGGAAGCTGAGAGGAGGGTAGTTAAGAGAAGTCATTTGGAGGAAGATGCAGTAGGTGACTCGGTGTCCCGTCAGGACAAAGGGGTGAGTGTACCAGGAAGAAAGGGGAGGGCTGCTGGAGAGCTCCAGGGCTGAGGCAGGGCAAGCTGAGAGCACTTGGAACATTCTGCTGGGAACCTCTTTCC